CAATCAGTGTTCCTGATTGGCAGGTAGCTTTTCTCCAGGACCCCAGACCCCTTCCATCGTATGCCTCCTCCCTCCATGGAGCCTTGGACTCCTGTACCAGAATCTTTTACTGTGGCTGACACAGTGAGGACTGTGCATGAGATAACCTTGAGTGTGGCGCCTGTAGCAGCTCGACTCTGCCCTCAGTCTGCTGAGCAGAGCTGAGCCACACAGTTACCCTAAACTGCAGGAAGGCTGGTAACACAGCCTGGCCGTGTCCCCAGGAAGAGAGGAGAACGTGAGTGTTGGTGAGCACAGGTCTCTGCCACCAAGGGGAACACATGCCTTCAGTGCTCTAGAGTCATAGAATCATCTGGCATTAGAACTAGAAACGGCTCCAGAGGTTGGCAAGGTGTCATAGTGACTTGATTATGTACAAGAACTCAGAGGACGTACACCTGGAGGAACTGTCTCGGCTGCTCGGTTCACTCATTGTGTGACCTTGAACAAGTGACTAAACCTTTCAGGCGATGAATATCTTCATCTTTAACACAGGACTGATCATAATCCCTTACCCAGAGAGTCGGTCTGAGTCTTACATGAGAGCGCCTCTGCAGCTACCAGCAAATGTGCTGGTGGAGAGAAGCCACCTGGCCTAGTGAGCGTGTGATCCGTGAGTGTGTTCTATGAAGCCCAAATGCCTTGTCTTGCTATAGAGTGGCAGAAAAGACTTTCTCGAGGTCACATAGAAAATGAGTGTCAGAGGCATCAGATCCCAGTTTCTAGTTTTCCCCACAATCTCTCTCTCTCTCTCTCTCTCTCTTTCTCTGGTTTTTCCTGACTCTGAACAGACGTCCGTTAGGCCAGAACCCAGGACACACTTCCAAGCCCTCCGAAATCCTCAGCCATCATCTCTCGCAGCTCGGAGGTCAATCTAGGCCACTGTCCTTAAGGATGAGAAGAAATAAATGCAAACTGCTTAAAGGACCATTTTCCCTGGAGTCCAAATCTCCCTTCGCCTCAGCTGGCTGCCCAAAGAAGCAATTTAGCAAATGCACTTTATCTCAGGAGAAATCTATCTTTTGTTTCTGTGACTTGCTTGTCAGGCGTCCCCTGCTTCCCCGTGGCCAAAGTGTGGGTGCAGTAGCATTCGAGTGCTGTTAATGAGAGCTCTTCCTCCAACTCGGTGTCTCCCTGGAGAAATTGCTAGTACCCTGGGTGAAAGGGAGGCAGTTTTTAAGCTGCTCAGAGTCTTTCCCCTTGAGATAGCATCAGCCATGCGGTCGGCAATAAGCAGTCCTAGATTCGAATTTGAAAAGGCACATAATCTGATCATAATAGCATGGCTAGGGTTTGTGTAGCACTCTACAGTTTACAAAGCACTTTTACATGCATTCGCCCATTTCAGAAAATTGCAAGGAATCAGTTAAATACAGAAAAACAGAAAGAAGTCAATAAAATCCACCGCTCAGAGGAAAGCTTTAACACTGTAATGTGTTCCCCTTGGCCTCTTCTCTATGCGGGTTTTTGTCTGTCTGTCTGTTTGCTGTATTGGGACCAGACCGCATACACATTTTTATGGTCTGCTTTGTTCCTGGAGCATTATATCTTCCACCAGCTCATTTGATCCTCACGTCCATCCCCAGGGAGAGAAGTAATTGTGTTGTAAAAAGGTCAATGGTTTGAGGTCCAAATACTGGATTCTTAATCCGGACCGCTTCTCTCTAGCTGTGTAACTGGCAGGGCACTGAAAGCTTCTGAGCCTCAGTTTCCTCTTCTGTAGAACAGAGACGTATGCCAAAGGACCGAATTAATAAAGCAATGCACTGAAAACATCTGTCACGTGCTTAGTCCGTATTAGCTAGGCAAAGATGCAGTCCACCATGTTGATGATAATTAAAGCTCACGGAAGGCTTCCGCTTGGTCCAGAGTCTCATAGATGCTGACACCGTATGTCTGACATCATACCCGATGTCCTTTCCGCAGTACTGAATGTGATTGATAGACAACAACGTTCCCTTGACCCTACTCCTTAAGCACTGAGATGGCCACAGGGATGCGGATGCTACCGAACTACATCATGGACACGAAGCTCATAGAGGCAGGCTGCTTATCCCCCAGGAGAGCCGATAGACCCTCCCTGCTAGGGCAGGCCCTACTTTATGTTCTAATAGCACTTTTATTGGTCTCTGTTCCCTTTCTTATCATGCGGTGGCTATGAGTACATCTATTACAGGCTCATTGAATGTACAAGGTGCTCTAGATGTCCTGGGGTCAAGGGATTCGGAAATGAATGGGATACAGCTCCTGCCTTTAGGAGTCCACTATGTGCGTGCTTTTCAGAAAATGGCTCTTGGAGCCATGTACCTTGGAATGCCTGTGTGTGCACAGAGGGGAAGAGAAAACCCCCCCTCACATGCATATCTCATGTTCTGGTCACTCATTTTCTTTCTCATATGATAAATAAACTTCTTTGAAGCCTCATCAAAGAAGGACCCTTTTCTCCGCACACATGTGCCTGGCCACACACACGTTCACACACACCCACACACATCCACACACATCTTCACACATCCCCGCTCCTCTTCATTGAACTGGAAGCCATGCACTGTGTCAACACATTAAAAGCTCAACACAAAACACACACACACACACCCCAAACAGCCTTGCTTTTGCAAAGATCTTTACAGATGTTTATTCCCTAAAGGGGAGTCATTGTTTATGTTCTTTTGCAGTGTGAGTGAGAAAGGGAGGGTGGGTATCAGCTAGTTAGGCATCTTCCTAGGAGGCATTTTGGGTTCCAGGCGTATTTGGATTCCTCCAGGAGAAAGACATGGAGACCGTTTCTGACACTCAGCCAGCCCCGCCTTCCCTGCCCTCCAGACACTTGCCATGCCATCTCTTTCAGGTGATGTTTGAGGACAGAGAGCACCCACCTAGGTGTCTTCAGGGCCCAGGTGTGTCTCCCTCTCTCCAAATTGTAATAATATCCACCATCATAATAGTATCTGCTGTGTCTTTACCTCACTTCAAACACTGCACCCTTTACATGCAGAGTTTCTGGAATCTTCCCACAATCCGCAGGTAGTTATGGTCGTTATTACTGTTATTATCCCCCATTTTATAATTGTAGAAATTGAAGCTCAGAAAGGTTACGTAACTCACCCAAGATCATACCGGCAGGAGTGGGTAGACCCAGTAACCTCAGCCTCTGTTGATGGAGCATCTTTCCTGGAGAGGCAGCCAGTGGTGGAGGGACACAGACCCAGGTTCGACCTGCCTAAGTGACCTTGAGATCTCGAAGCTGCTTTCTCCACTGGAAAATGAGGCTACACGTGCCCCACAGGAGGCTCTAAGGAAACGGGATCACGTGTACCCAGCACCGTGCTCGGAGCCTGGCACGTGTTTGTTTGCTGTCCCAAGCCTTTTCTGTCATCACAGACCCTTGAACTGCAAATATTAGAACAAATAATGGTTCAAGGATGATCACCTTCTCTGCATAACATTAAGGACACAGAAGGAAAATTAGGAGGCCATGCCTTAGCATCACAGTGAGCACTGTCTCCCGTGTGCAGCAGGTACTTCTCATGCATGTAACGCAGGAATATCGAGCACCTGTCATGCACAAGGCACGGTGCCGGAGGCCATGGAGAAGTGTCACGACCTCACCAGGGAAGTTGCCCTTAAATAATTTCAGTCCAAGCTAACAAGTGCTTCAGTGGAATCACAAGTTGAGTGCTCTTGGAGCGCAGAGGGGAAATGGGCCAGCTCTACCTGGCAGGGCCAGTAAAGGGCCCACAGTGGAGGTGCCATCCACGCTGACTCTTGAAAGGTAAATAGCAGGTCTCCAGGTGGAGAAGAGTGAGTGGGGCGAGGAAGAACACGTGCAGTCGTGGAGGTGTGGCAGGAAAAGCAGGCTTGGGGAACACAGAGAACATCACCGGTGCAGGTACAGAGCACGTGGGGAGCAGTGGCTCAGAGAGAGCGCGTGATTATCCGCAAGCATCTGGGTTTAACCCTGCAGGGCAGAGGGGTCACTTGGCTCGTAGGATCTTAGGTGGAATGAGAATTCTAGTTTCTCGGCCTTATACTGTTGGCACCGTGGCAGTCTTTAAATAGGCAAGGACATCAAAGGGAACTTGAAAAGCTAGAGTGTCTCTGATCACATCCTTTTTCACACTTAAAAGTTTTCGATAGCCGAGAATGTCTCATAGATCGCTGGATCTCAGTGATTCCCTAAGCAGCATTTGGAGACATGGGAATGCCTCTGGAGTTGAACCTGGCTGTCTGGAAAATGCTACAGGCATGTAGTGGGCTGGGGCCCAAGAGGCTGCCCATCCCCTGATGTGTGGGACAGGCTCACATAATGAAAAAGCACCTCACGCAAAATGCCAGTGATACCCCCATCCGTTATCTGTTGCTCCAGATCCATAAAGCCTCGGTGGTGTTTATTGAGGCAGCTCTGCTGATCTTGGCTGAGCCGGTTCCCATGTCTGGGGCAGCAGGGAGACTGTGCCCTGCTCTGGGCGTCTCTCACCCTCTGGTGGCTAGCCGAGGCATTTCATCACGGCACTGGGGGAGGGGCGGCAAATGTGCCCTCCCTCTTGAGACCTGGCCTCGGGATTGGGGTATCACAGCTTCCCCGCCATTCCATCGGCCAAAGCGAGTCACAAGTCCAGGTCAGACTGAAGCGTCAGGGAGGTAGGCTCTGTCTCTTTAGTAGGCGGCAATGGAAGTCACGTGACAAAGGGTAGGACTATCGGGAAGGTGGAGAACTGGAGCGATAAATGCAGTCATCTGCCGTTGCTCACGGCTTGAGAAATAATGCCAGAGATGCCCTTCGTTGTCACCTTTTTGAAATTTGATTGAAAACTGCAGAGGAAAATGAAAACAGCGAACCTGCCCTTCTGTGTTTGACCACCAGCGGCGTCCAATGGTGATAAACTCAGGGCGCAAGGGCCAGGCTCCTGGGCCCCCCCGGGCTTTCCCTCTGTTCCCAAGCCTCCTCTCCTGTGTTTCAGCTCCAGAAGCAGCTCTCCGAGCTGGATGAGGACGACCTGTGTTACGAGTTCCGGCGAGAGCGTTTCACTGTCCACCGGACCCACCTGTACTTCCTGCACTATGAGTACGAGCCTGCTTCGGACAACACGGATGTCACCCTGGTCGCTCAGCTCTCCATGGACAGGTACGGCAGACGGGCCCCGCCCCCCGTGCAGTCCCCTCACTGCTGCTTATCCCCTGATCAAGTGGAGACGGGAGAGATGTCCTCCCAGGCTAAGCACATGGAAGCCTGACATCATAGGGCCAGTGTCTCACCCGCATCCCAGCACTGAAAACCAAGGGCTCTTGTATTTTGGTGCTGGTGGTGATTTTGAGGATGGAGAGAAGGGTTGCTTCTGGGAAATGGAACTCTCCTCAGATTACCTCGAGGAAAGGAGGTGCGTTATAGGGACACACATAGGCCGGAGCCACAGCTGCCACTGGAAAGCTATTGCCGTTTCGTTCCTTCCGCGTGTATTGATGCAACAAACATCCATTGAGCTTTTATCAGGTGGCACTGACATGACCCTTGCTCTTATATGGCTCACAATCTAATGCACTGGTTCTTGACCTTGGCCGGGGCCACATTGAATCACCTGGAGAGCTTTTAAAACAAATTCACGTCCAGGCTCCGCTGCAGCCCAGGTAGGTAGGAATCTTTGTAAGGGGGAGACCTTGCAGTGTTTTGAGTTTGCAGTGTGCAGCCAGGGGTGAGAACATGAGGCTAGTGTATGAACAACCATAGACAGTTAAGTAAAATGATGATAACTGTGGTAAGTGCTTTGAGGAACCAGGATAGGTAATCACGTCCAGCGGGACCTTCTTTAGCTCATGTGATCGAGGGAAGTCTTTCTAAGGAGGGGACATTTCTGCAGAGACCTAAGATGAGAAAAGGAGTCAGGTGTGCGAGTTGCCGAGAAAGAGTTTTCCGGGCAGATGAAATAGCAGGTGGAAAGGCCCTGTGGCGGGAAGGGGCTTGCACACTCAGAAACCTGTGGCAGGAAGGGGCTTGCACACTCAGAAACCTGTGGCGGGAAGGGGCTTGCACACTCAGAAACCTGGCAGGAGACCAGTGGGGCTGCAGTATAGCAGGAGATCGAGAGGAGAGTAGCTGAGATTAAGAGGATAAAACATTATAAACTCCTAAAATATGTGGACTTTATTCTAAACATCATGAGACGTTATTGAAGAAATTTAGACAAAGTTGTTCGATCTCACTTATGGTTTTGAAAACATCTCCCTGGCTGCCGAGAGGTGAATGGATTCAGAGCCCCAAGGTCATTCACTCAGGGCCACATTTTTCTATACCTGGCTGTCCCGTGTGCCTCTCTCCCACCTCGGTTGATCGGCTTCCTCTTCGATTTACAGGTGGCACACAAAAGCCGCCCTCGTCCCAGCTTCCTTCATGTCGTTCCCCACTCAGCTCCCACAGTCAGGGAAGGAGTTCGATTGGTTCATTGTCTCTGAGCCAGCTCGGATATGTCTGGTCAGCGTATAGATGCGATTTCATGGGGTCATTTTGAGAATTAAATTACTTACTGCCTATAAAGTGCTGAGAACAGTACCTGGCACACTTACTAAGTGTTTAATAAATGTCAGTTGTTATTAGTCAGGAAGGAAGGAAGGAAGGAAGGAAGGAAGGAAGGAAGGAAGAAAGGAAGGAAGGAAGGAAGGAAGGAAGGAAGGAAAGAAGGAAAGAAGGAAGGAAGGAAGGAAGGACAAATGAACGAACAAGCACGCACACATGAAAAGGTTTGCATAAAAGTCTGGAGTTACTGTGGAGTGAGTGGAACTTTGCATCTGGAAGCATCTGGGTGGGGTGGGACTCGTGGAAGCAGATCCCTTGCTTTGATCTCCACCATGTGTTAGTGCATGATGGTTCGAGGAATTAAATAGCTTCATTGGTTAGTGGTTTCCTAGAGATTCCCAGCCTCCAGGCCCCCTGTGCACAAACACAGATATTGCTGACCATAACAGGTGACAGGGAAAGACAGAATGACAAAGGGGAGAGGGAAAAACACGGAGGATGTAGCATCAGCTCCGATCTTGACCTGCTGTGTGATCTCAAGCAAGGTTCTTTCCCTTCTCATGGCCTCCGTTTTCTCATCTCCAAATTCATGCGATCACTCAGCAGATCTTACCGAAGCATCTCTCACTACATGTACCAGGCTCTTGAGGGGCTGGGAATATGTATAAGACCTTATTCCTGCCTTTGTGTGTAGTGTAGTCAGGCCTCAGGCAGTGGATTCGTTTTCTTGTTATGTAACAAATTAGCACAGATTTAGCGGCTTAAAAAACACATTGTCTTACCGTTTCTGTGGGTCAGGCGTCTGGGTATGTTAGCAGGGGCTCGGGACTGAAATCGAGTTGTTGGCTGGGGCTGTGATCTCATGTGGGACTCGGGATCCACTTCGAAGCTCTCTCGGGTTTTGGCAGGATTCACTTCTAGGACCACGGTTCCTTTGGCTGGGGTTCTTCTAAGCTCCTGGGGGGCACCCTCAGGTCTTGCCATGTGGTCCGTTCATGGCACGGCAGCTTGCTTCTTCAAGGCCAGCAGGAGGACGCTCCAGCGTGTTCTACACGTCATCACAGAAGCAATATTCCATTATACTCCCAAGTCCCGGCTGCACCCAGGGCGTGTACATCGGGGTGCAGGAGTCTTGGGGGGCAGCTTAGAATTCTGCCTGCCAGAGACAGATAACAGTAGGGAGATGCCATGAGACCCCCACAGGATGAGCCCCCATCCCGGTGGAGAGTGGAGAAAAGACAACACAGATGTGTCCAAGGGAAGCTGTCATCTGCGCTGAGTTGGAGGCTGAGCAAATTGAAAGACAGAGCCACACAGAGAGAAGGGGCCTCCCCACGGTGGTGTGTGCAGCGTAACTACAGGACAGAGAGGACACCGGGCCCGCTGGGGAACACGCAGAGTTGAGTGTGGCTCAGCTTAAGGTGTAGGAGTAGGGAGGAGGCAAGCAAACAACTTGGCCAGGTAGGCAGGGGCTAGATCCCACAAGGCCTTGGGGAAGCCAGAGCAGGTGGCCGGCTCTTCCGGCTCAAATCTGTCAGGCTTCCAGTGAGGCTCCACGAGGGACTGACTTAGACCAGCATCCCAGAGTGGTCACCGTCGAATCTCGTGTCTTTTTGGCTTCTCACCCGCCTTGTAGTTTGGGGGCCCGCACTCTCCCTCGCTAAGCAGCACAGTAGTTAACTCACCTGGCCAAACCAGTCCTCACTTTCTTCTTCTTCTCTATGGCATTTAAAAAGAACATAAAATCTAATCCTTGATAGTCATAGTGAACGATGGGTGAGATTGGTCTTCTGTTCCCCAGGCAGCATAAATGCACCTCAGGCCCCTCAGATGAAGTACCTGAAGCTCAGATGCTATATCTGCACAGGTGAGTGGGTTCCAGAAAACCCCAGGTTCCCATCTCAGCATCCCTGGTTTTCCTCTGCCACATTCACGCCTCCTAGTAATACATTCAGTTTATCAGAAGAATATTTCGAATCAAGATCAGTAGCCAGTAGCTACCGACAAACTCAGAAGAAAATGAAAGCGATAAATTTGACATACTTTCTAATCAGACTAAAAGGTGACCCGACAGAGAATAACCTGATCCCTGGAGTCAGACACTGTCGGGTCTTGGTGGCTCTGCCGCTTCTTGAGTTTGACCCTTGGACAAATCACTTAACCTCTCTGAGCCTCAGTTTCCTCATCTGTAATCCGAGAATGATAATTATAGTAGCTACCCCCTAAGGTTGTTGGAAAGATCAGATAAGACTAGGCATGCCCCGAACTTAGCCCAGGCATCCACTCAGAGGCTCCCTAAATGATGCCAGCACTAGTGAGCAAAATCTTAATATCTGTGGTTCTACACAAAGGGACACTAGACTTGCAAAGAGTTCTGGGCTTACATCCCACCAACTTCTTTACTCGCCAGGTGACCTGTTATGGCCAAGCGAGCAAGTCACTTAACACTTTTGCATATGTTTCTCCTTCTATAGAGGGTTAAAAATATTTGCCTCATAGGGTCCTCGTTAGGATTGGATGAGAAACTCTCTGCGAAAGCCTTGGGCACATAGTTGCTAGATCTGAACACTCTGACCACAGCATCTGCACCTGGCAGGTATTTCGGAGAGGTGAGGTGATGTAGAAAAAGAGGAGAGAGACAGACACACCCCTGGGTTCAAAGGCCAGTTGCACCAGTCGCTAGCTGTGTGAATCGGACAAGTTACTTAGGGTTTTCGAGCCTCCCTTTACCTATCTATGAAGTGGCAGTATTAACTGTCAAGTTCACAGATTGCTGTCTGCGTTATATAAAATAACAGGCCGGAACGTTCTCTGTGAGTATCAGGTATGCAACAAAAGTTCATTTCCCTTCTCATAATGTGGTTTTGCCCCCAAGCTGGCTATGAAATTTGCTATCTGGAATTTACAAACAATTAGAAGAATTTTTTTTTTTTAATTATTAACAACCCAAATCTGTCCTTCTGTATACACTTGTTATCAACAAAAGAATACAGGCCAAACAGAGCCCCTCCGCCAACGGCCAGCCAGAAGCACCCCCAAACCCCCGGGCGGGCCCGGGTGCAGGTGACCCCGGGACCGTCCTTCCCAGTCTGCTCCCAAGGACACCCTGCCACCTCTCACGTCTACTGCAAACACTAACCACTGAGGCCTTCCCTTCAGACCACGCACATCCCCCAGCATGGCAGACGCAGATGCCCCCGAACACGTGGTGACAAATATCACCATCCCAGCGGTCCCTCAGAGGACCCCAGGAATTCTGCACCCCACCGAAGGAAGCCCCGCGGGACGAAAGCAGAAATTACGAAGCGGTCCCACGAGCTGGTGAAGATGGCAGAAATTCCTCCTTCCGCTCCAGACAGCCAATTATGATGCAGCAGGCCGACTGGTGCCTGTCGGATTGATTTTTAATTTAAGAAACATTTCGGGTGTGTTTGTAAACCTTTGAGTCAGAAGTAGGCCCTACGTGAATGCCACAGCGAATTAGGGGAGGCGGCATGCCGGCTCCCCAGCCCGGCTCCCTCTAGAATTCAGTTCAGAAAGGATGAACGTGCCAGGCACAGCTGTGGAGCTGGCAGGTCTGCTCCTCTCCCAGCTGCTCGGAGACTCACGCCCCCACCCCTCCTGGCAGCAGACGAGAATGGTCGAGAGGACAGTGGGCTGACCGGGAGGGGCCCCTGATCACAGCATCCTCGCCACCTGGCCAAGAGACACCTGATCTCTTCTGTGTCTTTGACAAGGTGGTTGAAGTGCTAAGTATGGTCTCGGGGGATTTGTGGCTGATGGGTCTTCTCTCCATTTTCTGCCAGTGGAGGAAAGAGAGCATTAGCTGAGCTGACAGGGCTCTTTAAGAGACCTGCTGTTCCGACTGCCAGCACAGCGTCACCTGGGAGCTTGTTAGACATACAGATTCTCAGGCCCCACCCTACTCCTACCAAACTGGAATCTCTAGAGTCAGAGCCCGGAAATCTGGGTTGTAATAAACCTCCCAGGCGATCCCAAGCGTGCTTAAGCAAGCGCCGGTCTGGAGAGCGAAAGGTAATTCTTTATCTGTGTAACAGCCAGAGTGATCTTTTAAACATACGTATCAGGCGACATCATTAAAACTGATGATTTCTCATGGCATTCAGAAGAGCAGTATCGCTGCCCACCACAGCCATCGGAGGTGCCCTGTGACCTGCCACCTGTCCACGCCCAGCCTCTCCTCCAGTTCCTCACTCGCCCGTGTTCCGTCCTCGCTGGCCCCGTGTCTTCCCACCCGAGCATGCTAAGCCCAGTTTTATCCCAAGGACTGTTTCCTCATATTGCAGACTTTCCTCCCAGACTTTCTTAAGGCCAGATCCTTCTCACGATCAAGGTCTCAAACGTCACCTCTCCGGCAGGCCTCCCCGGCGAGCCCGCGCGGCTACTCTTTGTCCTGTTTTCTGTCTGTCGCTTCTCTGGCCCTTCGTTCGCTGTGATTTTTCTCTCAGTTCGCACCCCCCACACGCTAGAGAGAGGCTCCGGAAGTACAGAAACCTCGTCTTTCTCGTTCATTCCAGGGCCCAACACGTTACCTGCACCCTGCAGATGATCAGTAAATATCTAGGGAATGAATGTATGTGTGAAAGTCAGAAATAGAACCTAAGGAGGAAATTAGAGCTAGCGCATCCACCTTTGTACAGTGGCACCGTCGGCAGGCTTGTTCGCATGGTCGCAGTACCGAGGTTCCAAGGGCAGCTAGAGGCAAGACCCACACACAAGCACTTTTTCACTTTCTTGCTTGTGTCCTATTTGCTCATGTCCCATGGATCAAAGCAAGTCACGGGGCCAGCCCAGAATCAGTGTGGAAGCGTCTGACCTAAGGGCGTGGATGGAGGGAGAGGGATGATCTGTAGCCATTTTGCAATCTCCAAAGGTGTTATCATCCCCAGTATGCGTATGTGGATATGGAAGCTCCGAGAACCATCGTCAGGGATACCAACTCAGCTCAGAGTTCAAAGCCAGGTGTGTCCGACCCCAGAACCCACAGTCACAGCTTGGCACCGTGCAGCCCGCCCGGCTCCCATGTGTCAGAATGGAACTTTGTAGGGAGTGAGTTCCCCTTTCCAGGAGAGGCTGAGTGACACCTGCCTGGACTGTTCAGACCAATTGACATTCTAGAATTTCATCCAACCCTGGTCTTTCAGGTTCCTGTCCCAGCCATCTCCCTGCCTGCTCCCTTGTCCCTACACAGACTGTGAGGCTTCCTGTCACAGGAAGACACCCCGGGGTAACCCTTGGCTACTTCTAGATCTGCCAAACATCTCTGTGGCCATTCCTGAGCCTTTTCCTCCTCGTCCCAGCATGGAGCGAAGGTGGGCTCTGTGGGGAACTGGAGAAAATCGTGGGACACAGAGGCGGACTGTGGGTCCTAATGTCAGCTCGGCACTCATTCATCATGTGTTCTTCATAAGTGAGACCCCTCTCTGAGGCTGAGCTCTTTCATCATAAAAATAGGATCACCAGACTAAAAAAAACCTCAGAGATTCCTTCCAAGCTGATAGTTCTGTAGTTTTAGAAGTAATCTTTGTCTCTTGAGACACTGTCCATTGGCCCAGGTCCCCACTCTGCCAGGTACTTTATTTTCCTATGTAAGAGACCAAAGAAAGACTCGGCCCAGAGCTTTTCATCAGCAAGAACTGCGCAGAGACAAACCTGGGGAACAGATGCGGGCAGAAACAGGGAGCGGTCGAGAGCGTTTGCTGGGTCTTTGAGGGACTGAGGTGGAGGAAGGAATAGGGAGAAGCTGACGCCAAAGGAAGCACATATTCTCGTTTGAGGGAACAGACAATGAGAAGAAGACACATGGGGGACATTTTTCTCAGCTTAACACCAGTCCGTATTGAATGACGATTTGGATCCTGGGTGTTAGGGTCAGACAGACCAAGGCGTGAATCCGGCTTCCCCGCTCTGTAGCTACGTGACTCGCAGGAAGTCACTTCACGTCCTTGAGCTTCCTCACCTGTATCACAGTGCTGAGAACCTCAACTTCGTAGAGTTACAAATGAACGTTACACGTGATAGCAGCCAGAATGGGGCCGGCCCACTCTAAGCGACAGATAAATGATAGAGATCGATCGTATTATCGTCGCATTTTTATATGTCGACAGCATTATGATAAACCTCAGTCTGTCACTGTTGTTCAGATCCTGGCAGAAAGCTTGGTTCTAAGAGAGAAGAGGCTGGAGAGAATGGGGCCTGTGGCAGAGAGACAGTAGTGGGTCGTGTCATCGTTAATTCTTGCTCGCCGAGGTTCCACCGAACATCTGGCACAATTTCCTATGAAGCCCACATGGGTGTGATGTTGGTCACACCAGCAGCATCCTTCTTCTGAGAACCTTAAGTATTTTGTGTCTCTGTTTTCATCCTCAGCTCTTCGCAGAGCTCAGAAGAAAGGCTGCTCCAAGAGGGACTTGTCCCCTGCTTGGAAAACTCAGACACGGAGTCAAACACCAAATCAGTGGGAGAATCCACAGCAGGAGCGGGCCTCCCTTCACACCCAGACGTGCCTCCCACATCCCACTCCCTCTATTTATTATCCACAAATTAGAAATTATTCTTGCCCTCGACCCCCCAGATTTCAAAGGATTTGTACAAACAGCTCCCTTCCAAGTACGGAGGCCCCACTTTTGCAGAACATAAAACCGAGGTGCAGGTGGGATCATTGAAAACCCCAGATGCACGGAGCCCAGCGGAGACCAGGGCCTGCAGCAGAGGCCGAATGCAAATTTCAGTGAGATCAGGCATTGTAGAGAATGTAATGCCTCTTTTTAAAACCCGGCTCTGGTCAATTTGATTAGCTAGTGTCATAAAGTATGAGAAACGGAGGGCATTTTACCCTGATGAATATCTTAATCCTCCAAAGAGAAAGAGGAAGCAAATCCAGGCAATACCAATTCACAGAATTACTCAGAGGAAACTCGGAAAGTCCTTTGAGAAAGCCATTGACACAAAATAGGTGTACCCGTTTTCTTTTGTTTAGAAGCCTAGAAATGCATGAAATCTATTTTCTGGTAATTGTCCGAATAAAATGGGCATTCAGGCTGAGAGAGAGACGGCTGATTATGTACCTCTTGCTGGGGAGGGAAAAACTCTAAATAGGCTTGTGCTGTTTCTTAACCATAGATTTTCTGTAGCAGGCACTTGTAATGCCTTTGGGGAAAAGAAGAACTACCTTTATAGATTTCTCTTCAAACATTTTGGCAGAGCCCTCTCTGCCAGAAGCCCCCGTTTTTTGTCTTGTTTTGTTTTGTTTTGTTTTGTTTTGTTTTTTTCTCTGTTCTCCCACTCTCCTTAGCTGGCGCCTCTTGGGTAGTCTCGCAAAATGGCTGTGGCCCGGGACATGAAGGACTCAGAAAAATGAAGATGGCATCACCCCAGGCACATTTTTGTCCCCAACATTCAAGTGTGTGTGTTTTTTTTTTGTTTAATTCCTTTTGCCAAACACTCAGTCTTTTCTTCCCACTGTCTCCAAGGCCCTGTCTATCCATGTCTGTTCCAAGTCTAAGAATCAAAGCAGACGGGACATCTGGAGCCTCAATTCCTTCATCAGGAAAATGGGGAGAAGGGCAGCTGGTGCACAGGGTTGTCGGGAGAATTCTGGGAGGTGTCTGGTCCATAGAAATGAGTCAAGTAATGGTAGTTCTTATTATTCTTGTTTTTACGGCTTGTTTTAATGCTCCTTATAACTCATAGCCTCCGTTTGGCTAAATCATCTGCGGTGGTCACTCCTCCAGGAGGTCAGTTTACCTTTGCTAAGGGAGAAGAGGAATAGGAATGTTGAGCTAGAAGGGGATCTTTAGATCATTTAATATAATCTTCCCCACCCCGATTGAAAAGAAGAGTCTGCAAAGAGAAGGCTTATGGTGGCGTGTGACTCTCTAATATCACTTATTCGGTTAGAAGCAGACAAAGACCAGAACCAGCAAGGTAAGTGTTTTCATTCCCATGTTATGGATAAAGGAGCTGAGGTTTGGTGACTTGCCTCCATGACACAGTGATTAAGATTCAGGCCAGTTGACCAAGTGTCCATGGTGGTAGATTCCTCACCCCCCACCCCAGGAGGGCAGGCGAATGATGCTGAGGTGCGGCTCACCTTCCCTGTCTCTTCCAGGCTCCAGATGCTGGAGGCCATCTGCAAGCACTGGGAGGGGCCCGTCAGCCTGGCCCTCTACCTGTCGGACGCCGAGGCCCAGCAGTTCCTCCGCTACGCCCAGGGCTCCGAGGTGCTCATGAGCCGCCACAACGTGGCCTACCACGTCGTGTACAAGGAAGGCCAGTTCTACCCCGTGAACCTGCTGCGTAACGTGGCCATGAAGCACGTTGGCACGCCCTACATGTTCCTGTCCGACATCGACTTCCTGCCCATGTACGGGCTCTATGAGTACCTCAGGTGAGGGCCCGCGGGACACAGGCACGTGCCTGCCAGGACCAGACCACCCCCCCCCGGGGGGGCCATCGTCGAGTCCAACACTTTCCTCTTCTAGATGGGGCGGCTGACACCCAGAAAGGGGCCAGGACCTGCCCACGTCCACCCAGGGGTAGAACTCCCCACTGTTGGGTTTGGGGGCGCCGGGAGGCAATCCAGCATCTTCATTTTTCTCGCGAACAGGTTTTGAACCCCAGTTTGCCTCATGAAATGTTAGTGGCAGAGCTTGGTCTAGGGAGCATCACTCTCGTCATCCAGTTTTGGATCAGACGGTCTTCATCGAACCATTCTAGAAAGATCCCTGCCTATTCTGTGAAACAGATCAAAGAGAGAGTGATGGCTTGCTGGGCGCCAGGCGCTGTTCTGAGTGATTGACAAGTAGGATTTCATCCCTGCCCCCTCCAGTCCCTCCCACTTTGGTTCTCTCATGTGGGTACTATTATCACCTTCGTTTCCCCACTGGAGACCGCAGGACTGAGACCATAAGCCGTCAGCCCGAGGTCACACACCAGGTAGAGGGGGAGCTGGAGGCACAGCATGGCCAGTCCCTAAGCCAGGGCGGGTCCCGCAGGACTTCTCATAAGATGCGCCCCAGGCCCTGGGCTCGCTCTCCATCACAGCCGCCTCTCTGACTCTCCAGTGACCCTTCCCAACTCTCGCCACACAGAGGGGCAGGTGTCCCAGGGCTGGAGAAAGCACCTGCCTTGTGAAAGACTTGGATGGCTATATGGGGACTGACATGCATTATGGCGTGACTGTCTGAACTGAGGAGGACTGTAGGGTTCATATAGCCCTAGAGTCCCCACGTGAGAGAACCAAAGTCACAGGGGTAAATGGTCAGACATTAAAGTTCTTTATTACTGTCATTTGTC